TTACACATCCTTTAACCTAAGATGCTGGTATGGAAGAACATTTGTCAGAAAATTGAAAAGAAGAAATTAATGAGGTTGCATTCAACTTTCTTTCAAGGACAATTCGCAGTCGATCAGGATGAGCAATTACCACACCCCAAATTGTTTCGTGACTTCTGATTAAAGATTTCACTGTATTCTAGCCAAGGGATACTGGTGTTCTGGCCGACAATCAAACAAATCTGGGACACACTGCAAAAACAGGAACGCTCTAGGTTCTTTCGTTTTCCTTTTTGTTACACAACAGGCCCCAGTTGTTCAAAAGCTGGATAGCGCTATCCAGCTTTCGAACAACCGGGGCCACCACCACTTCAATGACCACACATCAATTCATTGAGCGTAAACTACATGTAGCTGCGGGAAAAATAGCCACAGATAGGTTAGTTATTTTTTTAATAAGAATGCATAGCGTTAAGTAAGTGGTAAATACTCATTAAGCTATGGTACGAGAACTAAATAGATATAGCTATGTTACACTGTTATTAAGTTCTAGTGAGCTCACTAATATAGACGGGAACATAGACTGATGTTAATTTAGAAATTTTAGTCTGCTCAGAAGGTCTGTCATTCTCATCAGGGGCACAGTGACAGGACAACTTTCACAAATGTGTTAGCGTTGCATTTTAAGATTAAATTTGACCAGGTATTTGTGCAGCGAGTTCTACGGTCACGATTGACTTCAAAATTGCAGATATAAAACTAGAGAGCTCTGAGGCTTATTTGCTGAAGTTAGAGAAAAATCTGTCTTAGGGTTTATTTTTTCATCCAGATGAAATAATTTTAAGCATAAACTGTTTATCTTATTCCTTAAGTTTGCTAGTAACGTTTCTCATCTTGAAGAGTTAATGTGTTATGATTGTCGTTTTTCTCTTTATTGTAACTGTATTAGAAGGTAATTAGTTTATATCATCTTATATCTATGTTAAACCATTCATTTGTCTAGTTCTATTTTTTCTCTTGTTGTAGTCGTATATTTACTGTTTAGGTATTGTTTTTATATGTGTATTTTGTATTGTTGCGAAGGCCGTAAGTTAGATAACTATTGGGTTATTACGTCACCTTCGTTAAATAAAGAATATTGTATTGTATTGTATTGTATTGGTTTCAAAGTTATAGACATTTTTTGTAAAAAATGCGGTTTTAAACGCATGCCGATATCTCAAAGGTTTTTATACCTACAAGAAAATAAATAACAGTTTCGACTATTTTTTATTAAGGATGCGAAAAATCATAGAAATCGGTTAAATCTTTCCTGCCGAAAAACACGATTCAAAGCATAACCAACAGGCATATAAATAGGTTCGGGCCACCTTATGAGCGGTCCCGGGACAGCTGTTCTAAGCATACATTGAGATACATAAGATAATAAATAAATAAATACATAGGATAAGGAACAGGTGAAAAACGGCGCTAGCCGTACAAAAAAAAAAAAAAAAAAAAAAAAGAAGAAATTATAAAATTCAAAAAACTGGCAGAGCTGAGCTGCCAACAAAAATAAATGCGTTCAGAGAGACGCCAGAAAAGAAAACCTGCCCAAAAATCCACGAAGGAAAAAAGTGCGGGCGGGAAATCTGGAAAGGAACCAAGCCTCAAGCTCAATGATGTTTCTACTGGACTTTACAAGTTAATCGAAATGGGCCGCTCCTAAAATAAACAAAAAAAAATTAAGAAAACCGAAGAAAGGTTGTTTCAAAAGCCGATATGACGTACACGGTATATTTATACGTAGCCTTATACTCCCGGTATGGAAAAGACAAGACAAGACAAGAACTTTATTTATACCAAACAGAAAAAACACATTAGCAAAAGACAAATATACATGTATACTACTTATGTAAGGTACAAGCGTCCTTTAGCTAAAAAGCTAATCTAGCTAGGAGGCATTATAGATTAATTAAGAATATTTAAGAGGTTCTTTCATGGAGACACAAGTAGAAAACAATGTAAAAAAAACAAACAAACAAATAGACAAAGAAAAGAAAAGAAAAAAACGCATATGTGCAGAATTGAATCACTGAAAAATTGAGGAACTGGAAAAAATACTGGAAAAGAAAGAATTTAATATGAGCTAGCTATATATAGCCCCTGGCCTAACACCCAGGTTCTGTGGTATTTCGTGCCGTCAAAATAGTTATTTCTTATTCTTAGCGGGATCATTCGTCATAAATAACATAACTTGCCACATTTAAACTTTGAATAATCATTTGTCACTGATTTCATCTGCCATTTTATTGTTGTTATAAGGGACATCAATTGAATTAGAGTTCCTTGCAATTGCTTTATTTCAATGAATCTTTTTCTAATCAACTCCATTTATCTCGCATTAAAGCCAAGTTCAGCCACAAGGTAGTATACAGCTTAGTCTCTGGTAGTGCCGTTTGTTCTTTTAAGCTGAATAAGTATGGAAATGCTCCTGCATTATAAAAGTTTGTGATTTGCAGTATCTGTATGCAATTTTAGCCTTATACATCCTTGAGATATTTAAGGGTTTTATGTATTATTATATTGTGCCCAAGCAAGATTGTCATGTCCGAACACGCATTCACGCTGGGTGAGCTTACTACATTTAATTATATCAGACCAATGTACACAATTCCGTCTTTAGAGTATGAGCGGAAACGTGCCCTTTTTATCCCTCATTCTGTTGGCCATTTTTCTTTAGAGAGGAAGTCATTCTGTATTTTCAAGAGAGGATAAAGGGGACAGAGAAGGCATTCCCCATACACACCCTATTCCATAGGTAACTCGTCTCGAGTTATTTTTAGAATCGGGATAAAGTTACCTCGCGCGCTGCGTGGATGTTTCGTGGAGGTTTCGCATGACTAAACGCCGGGCAAAACATGTCGGGCGAAAGGCAATGAAGCGTAAATACATTTAGAGCATTTCTGAATATTGAGGCGAAATGAGTCGGCGCTCACCTGGGAAAAAGGAATCGCTGGACTCTTTGACAAACCGTGAAATCAGTTTAACTCAAAGTTGTCGTAACCTGAGTGCTTTAATAAAATGAGAAATTTCGCCGGTCTATTGAAAGCGGTCGTTTGTACAATAAAGCAAGTAGGACGCCAAGTGTTATTTTTGTTGAATAATAAAAGACTAATAAAAGAATAAATATCAAACCAGAAATTGCTCTCTTCAAAATGTAAATTATAAATGATTATGAGAGAATATTCAGTGTGTTTTAAGGATTTCCCTCCTGTACTGTTAGCTCTATTCAGGAGAGGAAGGGCGATTCTTTTTTTAATTTCCATTTCTCTGACACCGCTTTAGCAGAAATCTTTCTTTAGTCGTTTTCGTCGACAAAACGAATAGCAATATCACTCTCCGAGTCTTCCGCCATTTTTTTCTGCTTCAATTCGTGAAGGACGCGTGGATCTGAGCGTGGGTCATCCACGCGGAACACACTCGTGCTATGCGATTGGCTGTTGTCTAATCCCCCTTGGGATCTGTGTGTCTTAAAAATAACTCGAGACGAATTACCAATGGAATAGGGTGTGTATGGGGGATGCCTTCTCTGTCCCCTTTATCCTCTCTTGGTATTCTCTAATATCTTGCTTCCTTAGGTCTCGCGAATCCTCTATCTATACATTTGATGTCATTTCTGAATTTCTCACCTGCTCAATATATACCAAAAATGTTTTTGCTTTTCAGTATAGCCAGAAATCTCTCTCTCCCTCTCTCTTCTGATCGTACCCAATCCTAGAAAATAGAATGTTAAGTCAATCAGTTTTGATGATTTAGTCCTGCATCTGACTTGCAGACGTAAACGAGTGTATAACAGGGGAGCACAACTGTGATGCCAATGCAGACTGCAAAAACACTGAAGGATCTTTCGAGTGCACTTGCAAGCCAGGGTATTCCGGGAACGGAGTTAATTGCACAGGTGACTATATTTCAATAAAGACCTGGATCGTCTTAATGTTAAGGCTATTAATTCAGTATTATTTTGTCTCGAGTTCACGCGTTTGAGTCCTTGAGTAGAATCCAGAAGTGACATTTCCGATTTTAATGTACAAATAAGAGTTTGAAGTCAGGCTTCGATCGAAAAAGTGATCGTTGTCATAATTATTTAGCAATTACTGAATAAGGCTGAGTAGACTGCATGTGAAGAATTATGTAGAGCGAAGAGGATGTTATCCTCAATTTTGCGGTGACTCAATCCAGCTTGATCGAAGTTTAGTACATCTGATCAATCCACTAAAAGCGTTACTTCTCTCCAGTAAAGATAGATCATAGATAAGAAAATAATCAAATCGCAGCCGGCTGAAGGCTGAATTGTTTAATTATTTACAATACAATAACAAGTATAAAATAATGGTAAAAGACTAATTACAATTTTGTTAATTAAGAATAATGATAATGAAGAACTGAAAAAGAAAGGAAAAATAACGTAATAACACTTAATCTTACATTATAATAACATGTTTGGACGACCGCACATGGCTGGTTTGAACGAATTTTTGCAGCGGTTTGTGCGAAAGCGGGGCTAGTCGTAAACACTTTCATGCCTGGTATTGTAGTAGCCTTGGTGGTTCGGAGAAAGCAAGCATGCGAATTTGTGCTGATCCGAGGATATACTATTAAACAGCTAAATACACTGATCGTTACGCCTATCATATAAAGTGCTGAGACCAAAATTGACTAAACAGTGTTTGTATGATTTATCAGGCGCTATTATGGAGAGCGCTCTTTTTTGTACACGCTCACTTAGACAGTCGGGTAGGCTACGGTGGTAAAAGGGCGAGCAATATTCTAGTACGGATATTATTACTCTACAGTGCAAGTCAACAATATCTTTACAGCTCAAGCTGAACCAAAAAAATACAAAACGCTTACTTGCGTTCTTAATAGTTTCATTTAATTCACCAAATCAGTGGATAGCAATTTTCGCGCGTTCTGATTGGCTCCCGTAACGAGGAACATCCTTGGAAATTCACTGTTTTGGGACGGGATTCTGCTTCTCGTTTCGCGACAGTTTCGAAAGATGAAATTTTAGCGGTAAACAAAGCAGCTGCTCCCCCACTATTCTGATCACCTCCCCTTCGGGGGATAGTTGTATATTATATCAACGTTCCACTTGAGATCGTTAATAATAACAATAATAATAATAATAGGGACAGTACTTTCCTTAGTATCTTTGTTGTCCCCAACAATGCTGTTTTGTGGATAACGTTCGCTAAGGGAAGTACTGTCCCTGTAAGAAGAAGGAAACGAGAGATCTGGGACCTTGGTGACTTGTTGTAACCCGTTCCCTAGGACTATAAACCAGGCCGAACATCCTGCCTGAGTCTACAAGAAATGAACATCATAATAGTAATAATAATAATAATAATAATAATAATAATAATTATAGTTATAATAATAATAATAATAATAATAATAATAATAATAATAATGAAACCTATATAGCGCCGTTATCAATATTGCTATTTTCATCAGCGCTTTTAAGCGCTGAGTAAAAATCAAACAAAATCGGAAAAACCACGACCACAGTCAAAAATCGATTTTGCTTCTTTTTTGTGAGTAGTAAGCCTAAGGTGTGTAATGAAATGAGGTTAGTTTTTTAACATATTCTTTTTAACGGCCACAAACAATAAAAAACCGTCTCTACCCAAAATATCAAAATTTCACAGGTTTTAAACCTAAAATTAGACGGTTTTCAGGAAGTCTTCATTCGGACACAAAAACTAAATTCAGACCTTTTTAACTATAGTTGTGTACATTAGGTCTTCCTCTTTTTAAAAACAGTAATATGTGGGGGTTAATGTTTTAAATAAGAAAATAAATAGCAGATTTGTGTTATTGTTATAGCGGATTTGTAAGGGTGTTATCCACGTCGGCCATCGGCCTCTGTGGATAACACCCTCCTCGATCTGCTTAATTCATCATATCCTACTCAGCCTCACCCATTAATTGCTAAATAATAAGTCAGGTATATTGTAATTCTAATAGGCCAATTTCGAGTTGACTCGAGCTTATAACGACGCGAAGTGCGAAGCCTTTTGATAGGAAAATTAATTTCAAAGGAGAAAGGTTTGACGATTGACCTCGTTTTGAAAATGAAAATTGATCTTATCAGATGGCTATTATGGCAGGCCACAGTAATTGCTGTGAAACAAAAACTAAATCAGTTTTGATAATTTAGTCCTGACTTCTTTTTTGCAGATATAAATGAATGTGAAGCAGGAAAGCACAACTGTCATGCAAACGCTAATTGCAAAAACACTAAAGGATCCTTTGTGTGCACCTGCAAGCCAGGGTATTCTGGGGATGGAGTTGACTGCACAGGTGAAAACAATACCTCGGTCTTCTTTATAATGAATCTTTTTCTAATCAACTCCATTTATCTCGCATTAGAGCAAAGTTTAGCCACAACGTATTATGCAGCTTAGTCTCTGGTAGTGCAGTGTGTTCTTTTAAGCTGAATAAGTATGGAAATGCCCTTGCATTACAAAAGTTTGTGATTTGCAGTATCTGTATGCAATTTTAGCCTTCTACATTCTTGAGATATTGAAGTTTTTTATGTATTATTATATTGTGCCCATGCAAGATTGTCATGTCCGAACACGCATTCACGCTGGGTGAGCTTACTACATTTAATTATATCAGACCAATGTACACAATTCCGTCTTTAGAGTATGAGCGGAAACGTGTCCTTTTTATCCCTCCTTCTGTTGGCCATTTTTCTTTAGAGAGGAAGTCATTCTGTATTCTCTAATATCTTGCTTCCTTAGGTCTCGCGAATCCTCTATCTATACATTTGATGTCATTTCTGAATTTCTCACCTGCTCAATATATAGCAAAAATGTTTTTGCTTTTCAGTATAGCCAGAAATCTCTCGCTCCCTCTCTCTTCTGATCGTACCCAATCCTAGAAAATAAAAGGTTAAGTAAATCAGTTTTGACGATTCAGTCCTGCATCTGATTTGCAGACGTAAACGAGTGTATAACAGGAGAGCACAACTGTGACGCTAATGCAGTCTGCAATAACACTGAAGGATCTTTCGAGTGTACTTGCAAGCCAGGGTATTCTGGGAACGGAGTTGACTGCTCAGGTGATTATATTTTAGTAAAGACCTGGATCATCTTAATGTTAAGGCTATTTTAGTATCATTTTGTCTCGAGTCAGTAGAATCCATAAGAGACATTTCCAAATGCACAAATAAGAGTTTGAAGTCTAGCCTCATCGACAAAGTGATCGTTGTCATAATTAGCAATTACTAAATGAGGGTGAGTAGGATATGAAGAATTATGTAGAGTGAAGAGGATGTTATCCCCAGGTCTGCGGTGACCTAATCCAGCTCGATCAACCTTATATCTGATCAGTCCACTGAAGGCGTTACTTCCTCTAGTAGAGGTAGATAGATAGATGGGTTTAACAAAATAATCAAATTGCAGCCGGCAGGCTAAATTGCTTAATTATTTACAACACTATAGAAGGTATGAAATAGTGGCAAAAGGCTAATTACCATTTTTTTAATTAGGGAAAAAAAAGAAAATAACGTAATAAGACATAAAGTGACATTATAATAACATGTTTGCACGACCGCACATGGCTGGTATGAATGACTTTTTGAAGCGGTTTTTGCGAGAGCGGGGACAAGTCGTAAACTCGATCTCTCATGCTTGGTATTGTAGTAGCCTTGGTGGTTCGGAGAAAGGAGGCAAGCGAGTTTGTGTTAATCCGAGGATATACTATTAAACGGCTTAATTAATACACTGATCGTTACAGCTCTCATAATTAAAGTGCTGAGACCAAAACTAACTTAATAGTGTTGACGTATGATTTATCATGCGACATTATGGATAGCGCTCTTTTATGTACACGCTCACGTAGATAGTCGGTTAGCTGTGGTGGAAAATCGGCGACTGAGCAATATTCTAGGCACGGGTCTTAATACTCTACGGTAGAAGTTAACAATATCTTTACAACTCAAGCTGAACCAAAAAAATACAAACGCGGGTGTGCTGCAGGGAAGGTTATTCTAAAAATGGAGAAGATAAATGTACAGGTAACACTTAAAGATCCCTTAATTGAGACACTCACTGAGATACTTCGTAGCCACGTCTCTTTCATATAATTGACTTTCCTCTGTTTGAAAGTCGTTTTCCACTATATTCGCCTTAATTTAAGCCTCCTTAATTTCCACAATACCTTTTAGTATTATAGAGCATCAATGTCCTATAATAAGGCAGGTATTTTATTGTAATTCTTATAGTCCATTTTCGACTTCACTCGAGCTTCCGTCTTAAAACGGTGCGAAGTGCGAAGCCTTTTAATAAGAAAATTAATTTCAAAGGGGAAAGGTGTAAGAAAGACCTTGTTTTGAAAATGAAAGTTTTTGGATCTCGGAAAATAATATTGAAATATTGATCGCATAAAATGGCTACTAAGGTAAGCCACAGTTATCTACCATGAAAGAGAAACTAAATCAGCTTATTCATTGTCTGACTTCTTAACCCATCGAGGTCGAGTATTTTTTGAAGTTTTCCGCTGACAAATTACCAGTTTCAAATGACTGAAGGCTCAAGTTTATTTTTTTCCAAGGATTCATATCAAATATGTTGCGTTTATGTCACTATGGCCCCGTACTATTAGGATTTTGATTTCAAACTGACCTCGAAGGCGAAAATTCCGCCAGTTTTTTTAAAAGTACAGGCGGGGAAAATCTTATCTTACCATGGTCACGCGTTGGTCACGCTCTACGTCCAATTTTTATACTCTGATTGGTCAAACTTTGACAGGTGAGTTCATGCGGAAAAATTATGCAGCATCTTGAAAGTTGTTTACTTTGACAGCTGAAGCTGACAGAGTTTTGTGTCAACTTGTGATGTTTTTAACTGTCTTTTTCCTCTGCATGTGCAAAATGAAATGCAGCCGCTATCAAGAGTCTTCTGTTATTCATGGCTGGTTTGTTTACTGGCTTTTTGGTTGAGAAATGCGTCGCTTGTCAAAATTCAGTAATTCGATTTCGGATGGCATCGTTTTCGTTTTTCACCTTGCTTAATGCGTAAGAGGGTTTAAAAGTGTCAAGCAACTGTGGCCTTCCTTGATAGCCTTCAGAAACTGAATCTCGAATGGTAAGCCTGAGTAATTATTGTATTTGATGTTTGTTTTTGTTATATCTAATTTCATGAAGTCTTGCACAGTTCACGCTGACAGTTTATGCGACAAGTTTATGCACGTTTGTAGCATTTGAGTCAATGATCTGACCTAGTATCAGGTTTGATATAAGCTTACAGAACTTTAAAAAGCCTTCAGATCTATTTGCTCACCGCAAATAGAAAGAAAACGATCCGAAGAATATTTAGTTATAAATTTGGCCCGCAGGGATTAAGCGCCAGAGGGCGAAATCCCGAGGAGGCACTCTAGTAACTCGCGCGTATATTAAGGAAAGTACTTACAGTTGAAATATACAGTCAGTATGCCAGAAAAAATCTTGATTTGCTTGAACAGGGGCCGCGAGGAATCGGTAGGTAATGATGACGTGATGAAGACAGAAAATTCCGAAGGGACCGCTTAGGTAGATTTTGTGACATTTATTGTGCAGTCATACTTTGATACTCTTTTGCGTTACGTGTTATCAGTGACATTCCATGGGGCAGTTGTTTCAGTGAAAGTTATGGACCAAAAGACACTCGTTAAGCGCAGACAGTCCGGGCCACAACCGGATCTGGATATGCAATTTCCTGCAATCTGATTGGCTCAGAGCTGAACCAAAACATTGACTTGACCGCGAAAGGACTAAGCTCGACAGAAATGTCGAACAGGGAAACTTCGAAGCAAATAGCTGTCGAGTACTTTGGGTGGAATGTACCTTGAAGAAAAGTAACAGCAATACGGAGCCGATTAATCGAAATTATTTTATGCGTCATGGCGTTCGATTTACGAATATCGAGATGTTAATGGTCGAGAACGCTTCCTGTAAACACCCGTGGATTTCTGATAATATTTCAAGAGACCAGAAACAACTCGACGACTCCGATCGAGTTGGAAGAATAGGGAATTTGAATACCGCGATACATTGTAAGTAGAAAGGTTTTAAGAAGTCCTGTTTGGAGTAATTTCTGCGAGCACAGCTTCGACCTGGAGAAGTCTGTTCTATTCTACTTCGGGGGCAATTTTTACCATTCGCGCTAAAATCTAATTTCGATCGAAGGATTGATAATGATAATCTTAATGCTAATTATTCTTGTTTATATAAATTTCCAGGATATTGAATCGTCACACATGTTGGAAATATGCGAAGGTCAAAGAAATAAATAAAATTTGTAGAAATTGCACTCGCGAAGAGTCGTAAGCAGTTATTAACGAACTTCTGTCTACGTGTTGCTTATTGCAAATTGCAAAACCCCATTGCGGATGAAAATAATGCAAGAGGACGTATTCGTGTTCTAATAGCTGTTAAATAGTCACTGAGAGGACGTAAACATAATTTGACAATTGTATTTTGAAAAACAGCTTTGACAAATGAAATAGATGTGCAGACTTTACTATTGTTTGTGTCAAAATATTTAATAGAATGGTTTTTCACAAGACAAAAAAACATTATATATATTTATATCTCTATATTTTTTTAAAAAAATTTGTTCCTTTAAATTATTGTTATTAAGAGGGCGCATCAGTTGAGACGACTGATGCGCTTCTAAATCTCTAAGGAAGGTGTCACATTGGGATGCAGGGCTAGTACAGCATCACAGTAGTTTTTTGGCATGAGAGATTTCATAATACCATTTGTCTACTACCTAGGATATAGTAGTTTTAGGGTAGATAGGAATACCACGACTGTAATATGGGTTACAGACGGATACAATTCTAGCTTAGTCACATTCTCACTTGGCATACACCGAATGCAAATATGGCGGATCTCTCGGTCGGCCCGGGTCTAGTTGCGCGAAAGCGAGGCTAGTGAGGCCTCGAGAGTTTGTTTAGACTGCGCGTCTTAGTGATTCAGTCGATCTATATGGTTTCCCTCGAGTTGTTACGTGCTTAAGAGCCATCAAAGAGGAGATTTAAACTCCACTAGAAACGAAAGTTGATTATCTTCGCTTTGCTAAGGTTCTTTAAGAAGAGAGAAATGGATTCAAGCGATTCGGCGCGGCGAATGGAGGCACTTTACTATCACGGAGTTAAAAGAACGAAAGTGTGCTCGCTTCGGACGCTCGCTTCACTTCAGAAGAGAAGACTCACGAACTATTAGAATGGGTAATAACTGAAAGATTCATGGTTCTGTTTCAAGTTTGCTTTGTCCGTTCTCTTACCAAGGAAAGGTAAATATCCTCGAGAACGAGTGAATCCGCCGTCGCGACTTACCAATCTTTAGGCGCTCTCAGGGACACAACGACAGACAATAAGGCCGAATGTTTTCACAGTCTTCACGATCCTGTGTTCAAGAGTTTTAGCAGTGCCATAAAAGAAGCAATTTTTGGAAAATCGCTGTTAGTATATCTCGAAACCATTCGACAAGTTGCTAAAATAGATCACGCGCAAAGTCAGATACAATGCTCGAATACTTGCACGCTCTTTCTCTACCAGAACCTTTTTCCGTCTTCTTACTTTCTTAGTTGGCAACGGTTCCTCTGTTAGTTTTTTCAAGGCACTTTGGTCAAGGACTGTTCTTGAAATATGTCGCTTTCTTCTGGTTCTTACATAGTCTCACAGTCCACGCTTGTAGGATTAACAGGCGATTGTTATTGTTGATATATTTTAATGCAGCTGTTTTCAGCGTGAAATCTAAAAGATCCTACAGTCCACAGCGGATGCTCCCGTTCTCGAGAATGTTTACCTTTTGTTGGATAAATAACAGACCATGCAAACATCTTGGAACAGCACCATCTCTTGTGAAAATTATTTCATTCAAATACTTTCCTGACTCCTCTCATCTAAAGCAAGTGAGGCGAGCACACTTTAGCTGTTAAGTGATTCCCATCGCCGCGCCGAATCGCATGAATCCTTAACTTTCTTTGTGAAAAGATCTCGGGAAAGTAAAGGTTATTCCAGCTAGAGTAAAATCTTCTTTTTGGTGGCCCTCAGGTATGCAACAACTCGAAGCAAACCATATCGATCGACTCAACCGCTAAGACGCGCAGTCAAAACAAAACTCTTGA